GGTGGTATTGTTCGTCGATTCAAATTCCTACGCTATTTCAATGCGTATGCATGCTGAACTATGTGATTACATACATGGTCAAAAATATACATACATGGTCAATAAGATACCAGGGGATCATTCATACACGTATTGCATGTAATAGGACAAAAGATACAATAATATTGTCTAATTATGCAAATGTACTAGTTTGTTTTGTTTCATTGGTAGTGCATAAGTATTTGACAATGCGGCATGACATGTGTACGAGTTTCGCTCTTCAAACTCAGCCGAATAGATCTCGGTCGATAACCCGGGTCGACAATCCCGTTGTAACCTAATGAGTAAATGTAATCGCTGTTGCGCTGTTTAATCACCGATCCGAGCGCCGCGAGTATTAAAACTTCGAATTTGAACCGTTACGGTATTAATGCGAAAGCAATTTAGAGTGAACGATTATCAAGCGACATCAGCGACCAACGACCAAGACTTTCTTTTTCGAGTTTCGAGTATTTTCAATTTAAATTTAGTGCCTTACACCGCGAATTCAGTGAATCGAAATTCTCAATTAAAACACAATTGTAATTCGCGTAGTGTTTAATTCCGACTCATTGTGTACAAAATACAATTAATACACAATTAGTGACCACGTAGCTGTGTCGTTCTTCTTCTCCTCGACGCCCACATCTTTGAAAAGACGGAATCCACGGCATTCCAAAAAATCTAACACTCGCCGAGAACAACATGGTACGTAGCATTCTCATTGCAAAGTAATATCTATCTATTTACCGCAGTAAGAGGAGCATATAATACAGTTTTATTAATAAATAATTCAGTTCCAGCCAGAATCAAATGTTGGATATATTTAACATTATTTGGTATTTATTTAACATTATAGTTTTGTGTATTAGAGGTATATTACTATCGCTGTCAAATCTATTCACATCTACTATTTCCACAGCCTCTAATTGATTTGAGCGGTTCACATCACCTTAATTGGATGAAACGGAAGAACAATACGCTTGTCTTATAACTAAGGTCAAATAGTTATTTGTAACATTTGACAGGTATAGGTTAGAGTGAATGTTGCGGCAAGAAGGCGGCACAGCGGGCCATTTACCTTTCCTAATCCACGTCGAAGCCCCCCCCCACTTGACAATGTATCGGACGACATTAGAGTGACGTCACCGTGCTCGCGTTATGTTATATCTCCAGCTGATCAGGTGCGACCGAATTGGAATAGATTAGTTCTAAGCAGCGAGCGACTATAAAACATAAAGCGACCTCAAGTAAAATATTGTTCTCGACAATATGCGAAATTGAATATGAAACTTAGATATCAGACTCTATGAATTGAACATCAGACTCTATGTCTGATCAAACGCTGAAAGTAAAGGAAAAGAAATCACATGTATTCATATAGTATATTTAACAACTGTAATTTGAAATAAACAATATATTAGAGACAATAAAATTTAATGTTGTTTCGGGATAGTAAAAAAAAAAAAGATTCCTCCGCGGATCGGGCATCTCGATAGGTGCTACGCTCCTGATTATAACGTAAGTGACAAACATACGTCATCGACGCCGTCGGATAATAACAACTCGTGCGCATCCCCACCATAGGATCGATCTATCGAACGAGGATCGATCCATCGAACCTATGTTTATATATATACCACCCCCAGCAATTACTAACATAATAAAACCGAAGTTTTAACCTGACGATCACACATTACCGAGCTGTTTCTTTTTTTTTCGAATCGACCAACCGCCGTTCAACCGTCAGACCTAAACTATTGCAGTTTAACCCATTGAATCCGAGTAAAAATTGTACCGTGAGTGACTAGTGGAGGTGACCGCTAATAAACTAAATACCTACTCAACATAACGGAACCTTTCGCATTTGTCTTTGCTATTTTTGCCAATCCCTCACTCCGTATCCTCGTCAGGATAGTACCCGCGAGTCATCGAGGCACTCAGTGAAAATCCTGAATTGTTTCGATACAAATGTTTTTTTACCTTAATCATATTTCCTGATATATCCTGCGAGAAAGTAATTGCATCTGTTTTCAGGGTACATTTTTCTTATTTGTCCTATTATTTTATTCCACACTGTACAATTTCTGTAATGGATCTATTCAACTTTTCTACTCCATAATTTTTTGGTTGTAATTTTCTCATCAATGTCAATGAATGCTGAAAATAAAGAAAATGAAATCGTATTATTATATATTTACATTGTACTCAACAACATTAATTTGAAATAAAGAATGTATTGAAGAAAATATGGTTTAATATTTTCCTTACCTTGAACATATTTTCAAATATATCTTGTGAGAAAGTAACTGCATTCAATTTCCACATGTTTTTCACTATAACCTATACCTGTCAAACGTTACACATAACTATTTGACCTTAGTTATTTTATGAAACAAGCGTATTATTCTTCCGCTTCATCCAATTAAGGTCATGAGAGCCGCTCAAATCAATTATAGGCTGTGGAAATGGTAGATGTGAATAGAATTCACAGCGATAGTACTATACCTCTAATGCACAAAACTACTCACCAAATAATGTTAAATATATCCAACTTTTGATTTTGACTGCAATTATTTACTGATAAGCCTCTATTATATGCTCCTCTTACTGCGGCAAATAGGTACATATTACTTTGCAATGAGAATGCTACGCACCATGTCATGCCGCATTGTCAAATACTTATACACTATTAATGAAACAAAACAAACTAGTACATTTGAATAACTATTCAATATTATTGTATCTTTTGTCCTATTTCATGCAATACGTGAATGAATGATCCTCTGGTATCTGAATAACTACCTTGTAAAAATTCCTCTACTCTAATCTATACACTCCGATTTTTATGAAACTTTGCATAAATATTTATTAGACCTGTTTATGAAGATAACTGTAATTCGTTGATGTCCATTTCTCACCTTGAGGGAGATATCAATCCTTTTATCCGGACCGCCCTTCCTATATACGTGCTTATAAATTGTAAAGAACACAAGATATAAAAAAAAGTTGAAATAAATGTTATACCGTTTCTTGAGGTCTATAAAGCTGCGTGTAAGTTTTTTTTTTAAATCATCCTTTTTGCAAAATTGAATTCTCCTTCCTCCTCCGTTTTGAAAAACTTTACTTTTTTTCAATCAATAAAAGCGCCTATTTATTATGAATTCAACGATGTATTATGGTGTATAGTTGATTTAATTATTCCGATGGAATTTTTGATTTAAGTTTGTTGATCTATCTGTATTGACCGCTAACTCAACTTATACTTGCAACGTTGATAAGATCTTTGGTAAGAATCATTTTACCATCCGCTTTACATGTCATTTTCATAATTGCAAGATTAATGTCATCATCATATGATGAAGTACATTTATTCTGTAGACTTTCTACAATATACAGAGTACTTCCGATGTAGTAGTACAATTGAAAAGACGGTTAATCTACATATAAAAATAAGCTGAAAATGTACAGTAAGAGTTTTTGATACAGTAACACTCATTCATCCATACTGTGTTCGTTAAATCTATTCCTATACATATTTCGCTTATTCTGACTTTAATTTTTATTATAATATAATATTATTGTACATGTATATAACAACCAATATTATTCGACATAGGTTTTACAGTAATGAAATTCTTCAAAAAAGTGTTTGAAACATAAATATTTTTTACACCAAGCACAAAGAAGTATAGCTAATTCTCCGTATATATCGCACCAATGAATTTTGTCAACCTGTTTTGTAAAACAATAATTGATTGGATTTTCATAGCGTGCCGAACGTTCTTCTATATATCCACTTTTGTACCACGAATGCTTAAACAAAGTTTGGAATCTAGGTGAAGTCAACTGATTATGTACAAGAGATTGGAGTTTTATGATATTATTTCGTTGATGTAAAATAACGTCATGATTCAATAAAATGACCTGATCGGAAAAAGTTTTTATGAAATTTTTCCATATTCGAAAACCAAGAATATTAAGAAGCTATAGTCTTCCGGTCGTCTTTTTCGGTATCGTCAGTGTCACGTCCTGTGACGCATTCTTGGAACCCTTATTTCGCCATCCACATTCTTTAAACTCTTATTTCATTATCCGAATTCATAGTTCCGGAAAGTCTGAGTGAGCAGCTCGTTCGGGCCAACGTATCGCAAGAACGCTGACAATCCGAGCGAGGTGGTTCACTCGAACTGACAACCAAACGATTGACCTCGCTCATCAATATATAATAACGCGACCAAGCCCGCTCGCGACAGACCCAATATCGCGCAGAACCAGTACGGAACCCGTGTAGACAGAACAGTATAATTTTTATCAACCCCAGAATTTGTAGTGATCAGATCACCTAAGCGATCCGCGAAAGCTGTTCGGAATCGGCCAGTTCGTCTAGCGAAAATCCGAGATACCAATTCTAAGACGCGCACCTAAATCCGCGAAATACGACTCTGCTACGGAACTCGGGGATCCGACAGAGCAACCTCATTCGTAAAGCGCGCGCAAGTTAAAGGTTGTACTCGAACCAAATAAACATTTGTTGTGATCAGAAGTGCGTGAAACTCAATTAGACCATCTACCCTACCGACTCCACTAACCAAGACGACTCATCTCTACAGGTATCCGCGCCCAGCGAAAGGTAAGTAAGAACCCCTACCTAATCAGTAGCTTAGAGATAATTATACAAGTGCGCAGAGGACTCGGTGAGAGAGGGGACACTGCGACTTCACAGTGGTTCCGGTACGAATCGAACGCCAACGAACGCTACTAACCTGTAATATAGGGTAGACTCAAGAAAAAAATCTAGCTCGAGAATATAAATCTTTGTCTGCAACCTTAGAAAAATCTAAGTCATTCACTTTCGAATCAATTTTATATACAACACAAGCAATTTATTGAAATACTGCTACGAAGCATACATAAAAATCTCTTAAATATAAAACGAACTCATTTACCCTCTAAATAATCACAAATAATGAAAATTTCAAATGAATAATAAAAATCTTAAACCAACGGATAACAAAAATACTACGGACGGAAACAGATTAACAAGAAGCAGGACACAAGAAAATCCTGAACTTAAAAGTATTGTAGAAGATCGTAATTACGCGTCAGCCTTTTTACAAAGCCGTAAAACACCGCGCTCACCAACAGAACGAAGAACATTTGACTTCACACCAGAAGTCACAGCCGAGGCGTCAAACGCGAATACAAATCTAGGTGCAATACCCAGAACAAAGAATGTTAAAAATCTAACAGTAAACACTAACCAAACGGAAAACGGAAGTGCCAACTGGCAAAACAAGAGTATAGGATTTACAATTAACCCAAGTAACGAAGCAGATAATAACAAACAAACAGGAATAAGTCCCCAGGATAACAGAAACAATACCGAAATACTAAACGAAACAATAAACAACAGCTGCAAAAACGACATATCCCTACTCGAAATTGAAGGAATCACAGAACAACCAAGCCTAATAGGAAATCTGGACGGAGAGAATAGCGAAGGAAATTTAACACTCACCTGCGTAAGTCCGAGAAAGAAAATGACAGACCAACAAATTCAAATCCAACCTCTAAGATTACCCTTGAAATACGTAGCAAACCTAGTACCCGAATTCGACGGGAAAAATATTTCAGTTACCGAATACCTTGAAAAAGTAAAACATGCTAAAAACATTATAACACCCGTAGACGAACCAAGCCTAATCCCGATCCTAAAAATTAAATTAAAAGGAGAGGTATACAAAGCACTAATAAACTCACCGATAAATAACGTAAACGATTTTATTCAGGCAATAAAGTCATTATTCCCATCCACCGAAAATATACACAGTTTATATGGAAAATTAACAGAACTAACACAAAAACCAGGCGAAACAGTACTTAGCTACGGGAATAGATTACAGGAACTAGTAATACAAATTAAAGACTTAAAAAGAATGGAAACAGGCATAAACCAACAAATCATACAGGACTTTGACAGGACGATTAAAAACGACGCAGTAAAAAGCTTCAAAAATGGGCTAAAGCAGGAAATTAGAATAGAATTAAAGCAGAAAGACGATTTAAACGTCCTTATACAAGAGGCCATCGACATCGAATCAAGGTTAAAGAAACAAAACATGCTGAGAGGCGACTCAGCTAGCGTACTATGTAGCCTCGAGAAATACGACGCAAACCCAGTAACGTATACGTGTCAAATATGCAAAGAACCAAACCACGAAGCATTATTTTGCAATAACGCGGCATGTGTATACTGCAAAAACAAAGACCACATATCATACAATTGTAAATTCGCTAGAAACAAGATAGAGCTTATTTGTAAATATTGCAACACCCAGGGACATTCCATAGACGCATGTAGAATGAATAGATCAAAAGGAAATTATTGCCAATATTGCCATGTAATGGGTCACACGGTCACCCAATGCCCATTCATAATTGAATATGAAACATGCTGGAAGTGCAAAGGAAGCGGTCACGATCCAAACACCTGCACAAGATTCCCAAAAATTACGGAACTCTGCGAAATTTGTAATAGTAGGTACCATACAGCCGAAAATTGCCCAACACCTATGTGCCCACTCTGCAATAAATTGGGCCATACTATAAAACACTGTCCATTAACGAAAAACAATAGACTCCAATTGATCATGTGCACAAACTGCAACGAAGAAGGCCATGATGCAGAAGAATGCGAAGGGGCAAGAGTCTTCCAAACTAGGACACACGAAATTAAATACCAAAATCGTAACCAATTAGGTCACTCGGCAGGAAGCTACTATGAGTTGAGAAACCCTCAACGTAGATCAAATGACTTGTATGGAGATAATCACAATTTTAACCATAATAATAGTAACTTCCAGAGAAAATATAACTACAACGGAAATTTTAACGGCAATAATCACTTCAGAAATAATAATGGCAATGGAAATTTTAACAGCAATAACTACTCCAGAAATAATAATAGCAACAGAGATAACCCGAGACACACGAACGAACCGCGAAAATTTTGCGACTATTGTAGAACCCCCAATCATACAATAAAAGAATGTAGAAAACTGAAAGCCATCGAACTACGAGCACAAAAAAGAGATATTTGTTCCTACTGCGAAGAGCCAGGACACTTAATAGACGCATGCAGGAAACTAAAAAGCCTGGAAAATAGCGTCGGAAAAATCTGCAACCTGTGCAAAAGTACGAATCACACAACAGAAGAATGCCACAGAGGGCAAAACCACCAACAGCACAGACAGGGAAACGAATAGACTCCTCCTGGAGAGAGCGCATAGGGAGGAGCAATGATGAGCCGCTCGAAACATATAAAATTAACGACAGTACAGAGCTGAATGAATCAGAACAAAAAAAAACGCTAGGACCCAACTTGCCCGATAATCAAATCATAAAAGAAGAAAGAATAACAACAAGAATGGCAATGTATTCACTGAGATTGGAAAACCTATTACAATACATTACAATAGAAAATCCTTACACAAGAAAGGAATGCTAGGACCCAACTTGCCCGATAATCAAATCATAAAAGAAGAAAGAATAACAACAAGAATGGCAATGTATTCACTGAGATTGGAAAACCTATTACAATACATTACAATAGAAAATCCTTACACAAGAAAGGAATGCAACCGCCTCATTGACAGCGGTGCACAATTGAATATTATAAAAAAAGACCAAATCCCTATAAACGCAATATTAGAAGACAGAAAAATATTACTTTCAGGCATTACGGACAAACCAATACAAACACTAGGAGCAGTAAGAATACCTATAAATTGCCAATATTTTGATTTTCACGTAGCACCAGAAGACTTTTCGATACCATACGATGGAATATTAGGAATAAAGGTGCTCCTCTGTTACGTCCCGACAAAGGAAATTCCATTCTCTCCAATTTCAAGTTGCAAAAGCGTTAGCAATCAGAAATCGGTTCATGACTGACCTCCTTAGAGTCACCAGCGTCAACAAATTCTCTCTTCTTCTCGAAACGCTGCGTCAAAAATTATGTGCAACGCATAGACATTCCAACAGGTCAGTATACTACTGAACTCCTTAATCATGCGAAATCAGCATTTTCGGCCTTCATAAAAAACCAGTTACGGACAATAGCGCAACACAGACGGCCATACAGTCGCGAGGTGTGCGGTCTTTCTGTCCGAGAAACATCAGTATTGCAGAATACGTCGAGCAGAGTTTCGTGAGAATCAAGTGTCACGCGAAAAGACTCAGTTTTCTCGTTAATAAGACTCAAGTTTTCAAATCATTTGTAATTAAAACTGTTAATTAAAGTATTTAGATTTATTGTTAGTGTAGAGTCATAGTTTCATCTTGTCAAGAACATTGTATCATCATCCGTGCGTCGAGAGAAGAGAGAGAGAAAGGAGCGAAGGATCGAACTCGTTAACCGTTTCTGTTCACCTAAATATCCGGTGAGTGCGATTAAAAAACTGGATACTCTGTCCTCAGTAATTAAAGAAAATTGTAATATCTCTTGAATGCCCATTATATTTTCATACTTCGTTTCTTTTGGCAAAATATATAATAGTTATTTATTCAATCTCGTTAATTATTTAGTGCGTATTGCCCAAACCTTGTGTCCAACGAGCGAAAGGCTTGTATCAGTCTAGACCGAATCCGAATCCTATAATATCTTACCTTCACAAAAAGGTGTTTAAGCGTTGCGTCGGATCATATCAATCCGCAGACTAGTCACCTACCACTACGCCTGCTCCGCACGTAACAGCTAAACTGGTGGCAGCGGTGGGATTTGAATTTGGTCAATTTCGTTCGTTGATGCAATTTTGGGAAGTCAAAATTTAAGAAAACCTATAAAATTTAACGATAACCTGAGGACAGACCGATAATTGAATTTTTCGTTTCGAATTCCAACAATTTTGTAAAAGGGAAGCCCCACGTATCGATTGGCTATAGTAGGACTTGTAAGTCAACCATCCCTTATTTTTTCTGTTCTATTCGGCTATAATCGATAACCAAGCTATTCTATTTTCTATCTGACCAAATATTGTAACGTACAAAATGTCTTTATCCAATCACACAATGAACATAAATTCAAGTAATCCCGATTTAAATGTCACAAACACGATGCTAACATCAATGGCAGAATGCTTTACCTTACAATACGGTACACTAAATATACCTTTTTTCGATGGAAAAAATATACCATTAAAAGACTTCCTGCAAGACATTCAAAACGGTGCAGTTTACGTACCACCGGCTAGCGAAGGAGCATATGTTAGAGCAGTTATAGGCAAATTACAGGGATCCGCACGCGATAGTACGTACGGAAAAACATTTGGCTCGTTAAACGAATTGATTAAACATTTAAAAACTAAGTTCGCTCCAGGAAAATCTTTTCCGTACTATCAACATGAAATAGGGAAAATTCGAATGCGGAGAGACGAATCCGTAAGTGATTTCCACGATCGATTAAATATTTTAATTAGTGGTGCTCGAAACGCGTTAGAAGATTCTTATGGTAAAGAGGCCGAACCTATGATACGTCCTGTATTAGAGTGTGCTTGTGATGCATTTCTCCGAGGTTTGCCTGACGATATGGCGCGTTATGTTGATGCACGAAATCCTAAAGATTTAGATGAGGCAGCAAAATATGCAGTCCGATTTGAAACCCGCATAAAATCCGGAATATTTTCTTCTCGTGATGAATCCAACAGATTATTTTTGTCTCGACAAAACGAATCATACCAAAATTCTCGATCAAATTCTCCTAATCAACATGGAACAGAGACACATTTTTCCACTCATCGTAATCGACCTCGAAGCCCAAGTCCGACTCCCCATAGAATTACCGAAATTTCAGAATCACCAACGGGGATTCTCAAATCGCCACGAAATACTTCCGAACAATATAAATACCAACAACCCAACCTTCCTCAGTACCCACCTCATCCATATTTTCCTTACCCACCTTATTACCCAATGCCTTATCCTCCTTATTATCCACCAAATCCGTATGACTCTCGTAATCCATATGACTCTTATTCCGCTAATAGTTTCCAGTATCAGACGACTCCCTCGGGACCTCCGCGAAGTCCAAGCCCGGGTCCTCACACACCCTTTACACCGGCAAACTCAAGGTTAGAACAGCGAAAACCTTCTCGTTACAACGACAATAGATCCACTTCACCGAACCGTGTTCGTTTCTCCTCACCACAACCTCAATCGTCATCCAGCTCAGATTTAAACTCCAGAGTAACCTTCCAGAAGGACGCGACGGAGGGTTACCAAGATCCAATGCGTCATCCAACGGTACGACATTTAGAGAGAAACCAATAGTATTAGATATACATTCTCGTCGCGACTCACCTCTTATCAAATTATCCGCGGACGAACTCAGGTCAAAAACAGCCACATTTTTAATAGACACAGGCGCAGACATTAACTTAGTTAAATTGAAAGCCTTGCACGAGGATCTGACAATAGATATCCACGATTCAACCGAAATGTCAGGAATTACTTCAGAGAAGGTTGAAACTTTAGGAACAACCACAATAACAATTTTAGGCCAACCCGTAAAATTTCACGTAGTAATGATCAACATTTCCAATCAGTAGTGACGGAATTCTAGGAAAGGACTACTTGAGACAAGAGCAAGCTGAAATTTCCTTTGCACACAACACGTTAGTAACGAAAAGTGAACCTATCAAACCCTTTTCGTTTTATGGGTGAAAATCCTCCGAAAGAAAAACCACGACGACACTACAAACCTAGAGTTTACCGAATTCAAAGTCGATCGCGACAAGCAATAGCCATAGATACAATTGATTGTGATCTAAAGAAGGTTACCTTCCTTTGCTTCAAAAACCAAAGATGGAATTATATTGGGAGGAAGCAGCCGTAAGCGTCAATCAAGGCGGGTGGCCATGTTCTCGCGATAAATACTTTAAACCAAGATGTAGAAATAGAAATTCCACCACAAGAAATTTTGCCATTCAAATATCATAATTTCCCTGAAGAAAAAGAACACCCCAACTTAGATTCGGAACACGAGAATCGATCAGAACCGCTAGACCGCGTAACAGAAATTCTGACCACACTCCGTTTAGATCATGTAAACAACGAGGAAAAGGAACATGTAATTGAGTTAATCAGGAATTTCCAGAAATATTTCATCTACCAGGTGACAAGTTAAAATCCACTCCGTTGATACAACACCCAATACATACCATAGACGACGTACCCATTAACACTAGACAATACCGTTTTCCCCCAATTCATCAAGCTGAAATAGAGCGTCAAATCACTACAAAATTAGCCGCAGGAATAATAACTCCTTCAAATTCTCCTTACAATTCACCACTATGGATAGTACCGAAGAAACCTGATTCCAAGGGAAATCCAAGGTGGAGAATGGTAATTGACTTCCGGAAACTTAACGAAAAAACGATAGGCGATGCATATCCATTACCCAACATTGTGGACATTCTAGACCGCTTGGGCGAAGCCAGATATTTTTCCACATTTGATCTTGCAAGCGGATTCCAGCAAATTGAAATGGATCCGAAACATCGTAGCAAAACCGCATTTACAACACCTCACGGTCACTACGAGTACATTCGTATGCCTGAAGGGCTCAAGAATGCTCCTGCAACATTTCAACGGTTAATGGATCAAGTATTGCGCGGATTACAGGGAATAGAAGCTCTAGTGTATCTCGATGATATCGTAGTTTACGCGAAAAATTTGGTAGAACATGGAAAGAAAATTCGGCGTCTATTTACGCGATTAGGCGAAGCAAGGTTAAGTCTTCAACCGGATAAATGTGAATTTCTGAAAACCGAAGTAACCTATTTAGGACATATCATTAGTTCCAAAGGAGTAAAACCGGATAAAAAGAAAATAATCGCTGTAAAGAATTTTCCTCGACCGCAAAACGCAAAGAACATAAAACAGTTTCTAGGACTTGCAGGTTACTATCGTCGATTCATAAAAGATTTTGCCGCAAAAGCCAAGCCATTAACGGAATTATTAAAGAAAAATAGCAAATTCATTTGGGGAAAAGAACAAAAACAGAGTTTCAAAACTTTACGTAAAGCATTGTGCAAGAGCCCTATACTGCAATATCCGAATTTTGACAAACCATTTACTTTAACGACAGACGCATCTGACTTTGCAATAGGCGCAGTACTTAGCCAAGACGTAGACGGACACGACTTGCCTGTAGCTTACCTCTCAAGATCGTTGATAAAAGCAGAAATAAATTATTCCACCACAG